GGATCAGTAAAAATTTCCCTTCTCTTAACCGCTAATCGAATCCCTTCTGCAAAAACAAAAACAACAAATAAAATAACAACAAAAAAATCCAGCATTAAACAAACACGTTGTCGTCTTTGACACAACGTCGACTTCAAATCATAATAATATTATCATTTCCTAAACTGTGTATCGTCATGACGGCCGCGCTGTTTGCTTTCTACTGAACTTTCATCTCGTAGCGTGCGCAGCATAGGCGCCCAAACGACAGTCTCGCTATAGTTGAGTGTTCGTGTCACTGCCCCCTCCCCTTTTTGTTTCACCCTTCATCTGGCTCCAAATTGAGTCAAATCGCAATCTCAGAATTACAAAATTCTATCTTACATTTTTGGTCGTTTTGAGTTACAAAGACCATGAGGTCAGAAAGCAAATGCTTTACTTGCTGTATCAAAATCGTAAGATTACTCGGAGTCGTTAGCAAGATATTCAAAGAATTCAATTCGAAAAAACTTGACATGTTGTAAAACTCACAAATTTTGACGTTCAATTTCTCAAAACTAGGTACTGAGCAGAGAAAACTTTGTAATTCTGAAGTAGCGAAATGGCGCGCTATAATAAACCTGAATTACGTCAGAGTGCAGAGTCTAAGATATCATCTATATATACTATCTATACATCACTATATCTAAAACTTCTAACTTTTTGCATCTCTCAAAGATTTATTGCTCCATTCCAGGAGAGTGTTTTATACAGTAGGCCAAAGACTTTCAGATGATGTTAATGAACCGATCATGCCTTTCAACGAAAGGGTGCCCAACTAGTTATGATACAGGTCTATGGACATGACTCACAAGGTGTGTAGGTGAAGCAGGCCTTGGAAGACTGTGTCACAGATGTGTTGTATCCTGTTGTTTGACAGGTTTCTGCAGAGAGAAAAACATCCATCACATTGCAGTATGTTTGTTGTTTGTTTCAGTACAGAAAGGCATGCCAGAGGAACATTGGTCATTCGCTGCGTGGAAAAAAAAGACCAACGTTAATAACATTTTGTTTTGTTTGTGAAGAACGAGTTAAACGGCATTTGTAACACAATTAGATCACATAGGCTAAGTGCCGAAGATTAGAGGTGTTACAAGAGAGTAACAAACCTTAAAAAGAAGGAGGAGAGATCAGGACGATAGATGTTTGATAGGAAAGAAGAAGCAAAAACACACCAGAGCACCCGCCAACCACCATCCACACGCAACAACAGCAACAACAACAACAATAACAACAACAATAACAACAACAATAACAACAACAGCAACAACAGCACTCATCTATCTCATCTTATCTTATCTTATCTAATCTTACCTAATTATACTTTATTTTTTATCTTATCGTACATTACCTTATCTTAATTTATCGTATCTTATCTGATTTCGTTCTGATAAGTGTTTTACAGCGCTTGCAATTGCATTTTTAAAAAAGGAGATTAACCTATCTCACCCCATCTCGTCTAATCTCATCTAATCTTTAGTCTAGTCCTGTCTAATCTTATCTTATCTTATCTTATCTTATCTTATCTCAGTGCCAGTCACTTACATAGAGATGATGTTGAGAAGTCCGCTGAAGGCTCCTTTGTCGATGTGTTGGATTCGGTTCCCCGACAGGTCTCTGGAAATATAACCAGGGGGAATAACATTATGTTGACGTCCAATTTCAGGTCAGATCAAATTCTCTCACCGACTCACACATGTATGTACACACATACACATACATGCACACATACACACAGATACACACACACACACACACAAACACACACACACAAACACACACACACACACACATACACATACACACGCATACACACATGCTTACACACACGCACGCAGGTGGACGAGATACGTACAGCGTGAGCAGTTTCTTGAGTCCAGTGAACGTGTTCTTGCGGAGTGTGGTTAAATGCTGATTGCTCAGATCCCTGGCGGAGCGGG